TCTCTCTCTCTCTCTCCTCGTTTGTCTTTTTCAGAGTACATCCAAAGGTACGCCACAGAGGAGGCTCTAAAGGAGCAGGAGGAGGGAGGGGGCGACTCCTCTTCAGAGAGCTCCATGTCAGACTTTTCGGAGGACGAGGCTCAGGACATGGAGTTATAGTGAAAGGGGGGAGATCCTGTCCCCTTCACCTCACAACAGACTGTCGTTTCCTAAAGAGCAGAAACTCAGTACTATATTCATATTTAAACGAGACAATTTTTTACAGCGACACAAGGATTTTTATTGCTACACAAGGATTTGCAGTATGATATTGCAGAATATTAACCCTTATTTAGGAATTCATGACCCACCCGACCCCCATTGCCCTCCTCTTCGCCCCCCCAGAGAGCCTGTTTAGATCAGAAAGGAGTGCATCATTCATTTCCATGATCTTTAGCGTGGCTTCAGTCAAAGCCTTTCACAGTCCAGCTGAGCCGTGAGACCAGAGGACTGACATCCACACAAAACTGTTTCCCATTTAGTTCCACAAAGCCAGACCTCACCACACCTCGAGTCGTAACACGCTCAGTCGTTTCTTTTTTCTTTATTTGACATCTCACTGCATCATCGGACATATTTGCCCCACCGAAAGAGGACGGCGGGATGACAATCCACGATTTCTGAGCGATCTCAACTTCAAAAGAGAGTGGAAACCCATTTTTCTTTAACCTGTCACCTTTGANNTCCCCCCCCCCCCCCGAGGAGTCGCCGTTACAATCATCGCTTACGAGGAGCTGAAGACCCAGAGGACAACAGTGCGTTCGTGTGTTCATCGTGTACAGACTCTGACGCGACCGGCCTCTGTGCGAACCTGCTGACAACATCACACTCTATCAAACAACCAATGCATTAACCATGACAACGCCGCAGTGTCTGTGTGTGTGTGTGAATGTAATCCAGGGAGAATCATGGCGTATTGATAACCTTTGTTGTACCGACCCGTGATGCTCAGCAGAAATCAGGAGAGAAGGTTCATAATCCTGATTCTTCTCCTTCACCCATCCTCCTCCTCCTCCTCCTCTCCGTTTTAGGAAAGTGTTTGTCATTCTCTGAGTATCTTTGTATATTGTGGCATGACACAGAAGTAAATTTGTGGAGCTGTAACGCTGTAGATGTGGGGAGGACGCCTGTGAGCCGGGCGGGGTTCGGTGGGGTTTATCCAGGTCCTTGTTGAATTATTGAACTTCTTAACTTTGCCTATTGCTTGTGTTGAACTATAATAGGTGTTTGACTTGCGTAGGGATAGTAAAATCTTTTTGCGGGTGGTGAATCCTATCATAATATATGGTTTAATACTTATATAACACACTAGTTTAAAGAGTAACTGTCCTGTAAAGATGAGGAGAATTAATACATCTTTGTCTGTGGGATGACTCTTTTTGTTTGAATCAAATCCTCTGAAGACATGTTGCACCCCTGCTCCCCTGCACCCCCTTCTTATATGCAAATGTGTCCGTAAAAGTTACATTGTCAGACAGAAGTGCTCTTTGTTTCAGCCATTCAACACCGTCACATTTACTTTTTTTTTCATGCTGTTGATGGCCTGTTATTTTTCCAAAAAAAATGGTGGGACCAAAATCTGGAGAACGGATCTACAAGCCTAAAAGTTCAAACGTAAGTTCAGGAACAGGTTTCTTCTCCTTCAGAGGACATTTAAAAAAAAAAAAAAGGCTTTTGTCCTGGTTTTACACCTGGAAAGATTCATGTGCCTGTTGGCGTCTGTGGAGGAGGCCGTTACCAGAGTAGTGACAGTTTACTGTTAAATTTCATGATGGTACACTGGTCTGTGATTTAGTGCAGAAACGTGTCTGTAAGAGGCTCTCACCGCATTGCAGATCAGTTTGTATTATCTGTTACTTCTGGAGGGAAACACAAATTAGAATATTTGCTTTATCGCCATCAAAGTGGGCTGTTTCTTCTTTGTTTGGAGGAAAAATAGAATATAAACTTTTATTAATAATCCCTTTATGATTAAAGAAAAAAAAACCCCGAAACAATGTCAGGATCTCTTTCCGTGTTGTTTTGCAAGAGTTTACCTTCGTTTGAGAATTAACATAGGCTGGTAAAACTAGCATGTCACAGCTTTTTGGCATTAAATAAAAACAACGTATTTGTTAAATAACCTAGTTAAATGGCTCTAATTAGCCTCTGTAACCAAATTTATGTTGGTGTAGGTCTTAGGACTACATGATGTCACAGTCAGTTTCATTTGCAACACACAACAAACCACTGTCCAGCCTTGTTGTTTGTCATTATCTGGATTCAGTGTATTATGTATTTTTTATTAATGAGACACATATATTTGATGCCTATAATTTGTTTGAATGTTTTATTTTTGTCTTTTAAGCCCTACGGTCAGGATACAAGTCCAGAAATCAGATTTTTTTAAAAGCAAAAAATGAATAAATGTGCTTCCCTTGTAACTTGAAGAAAGAAATAAACAACAAAAAATATATGATTTAATGTCAGTATTATTATGTGTGTGTGTGTGTGTGTGTGTGTGTGTGTGTTCGATGGTCTCAGAGGGTGAGGCAGGAAACTGTTGGGACTAGTCTCACACACACTTAATGTATTTAAAGAGCTCATGCTCGGGCAAAATGGTGTTCTGGGGAAATTTGAGTGATTATATCGTGTTATAATTACCTCCATCCACTAGATGGCAGTCCGAGCCGTCTGTCTCTTAAGAGGTTTAGTCCAGTAGTGAGATAAGTTTTAGATAAACCTTCATTTAGGATGTTTTGACGTTTTATTTTATTTTTTTGAAGAATTCTTTAAACATATAAGTATAGAAAACACCCAGACCTATTAAATATTATTGTTAAATATGTTTTTATATTATGACTTTTCATGTTTCTTTTTCTGTTTGTGTCTTGTTTAAATGTTTCTTGGATATTAAGGCAGATAAAGGGTTGTTTTACACCTGTTACAGGTGTAAATGATAAAATGAATGATGGCTGCATTCCATTTAGCTGCTTCAGTTTCAGGGTCCTGGTATTGTGCATGTTGTTCGGCTCACTGTCACACTTTCATGACTTACTGGGACACTTGAACAGAGCTTGTTATTACTGTGCTTTTCCTACCATGACCAGTTAAATATATGCTGTGAAGAAAAAGACGTGTAGTGGTGAGAGCTGAGTAAATATGGGAGCCAGAAGAAGGAAAAGTCATAAATAATCATTAAAATTAATGTAAATGGTCATGGTAAGTCAAACTTTGACATGTTATCTCACAGTTTGGACATACTCTCTTGTAAGAGTGATGTAAATTCTGCCTAATGTTCATCTATTTTGTCCTTTTCTGGCAGAATTTGTGTTTTTATTTACACATTAATGGTTGTTTTTTTTTTAATTCTTATAAGGCCTAAACGCCATTTAAATCCATATTTGGAATATTCTCTCATTTTATTACACTTATTACAGGTTTTACTGGTTTCAGATATGGATCATCAGATCATCAGTGAATGGATGAAGGTGGCCTTCCTGCATGTTGAGACGCTGGAGAACCAGACACACAGTAGCTTATAATGATCTTATGAAATATTCATTGTGGCCGTGCAGCCTCCTTCAGGTTTCTTGTTTCAACATCAGTTTTAATTTGACTGGAAGGTAACACACACACACACACACACACACACTAACGCAGATTTCCAACCATTGGACGCAGTTTAAATGGATTCTTGCATGAAAGTGATGCATTTTATTCACATATTTTACTCAGATTTGAAGAAAATGTAGAGATTTTTTAGAAGAAAAATGTTTTAATACTGAACATCCTGTTATCAATGCAGCCATTAATAGTTGAGGTAAAATATTTGTAATTTAACAGCAGGGAGATCATTTTGGGGGGTTTATCTGGAGTGTGGAGCTACTTTTTAAGATGAGCAACTGCAGGATAAAGCTAGTACTGATGAGTTTCATAAGACTTTAGTTTTTTTAAACTATATCAGAGAAGGTGATGAAGTTATTTGTGAGTAGTAAGGCGAGCAGCAGCCGCGCTGTGCAGAGGGCGGTGAGACGCTGCTGGCCGGCTGCGCCTCCTTCATAATGTATGGAGAGGACAAAGGCTGCACGGGTGGATTTCAGCGTCAACTTTGAAAGAGCCGTAACCCAAACCTGTCGGATCCCACTCCGACGGGCTCGCATCAGCTGAAAGGATGATGCCTCTTTTTCCACCTGCAATCTGTCTAATAATCACCGACAGCAGGTAAATGAGCCCTTCAGGGACCTTTGGGTGCCCGTATATAACGAGGAGCAGAGGAGGCCTGTACTCGGAGAAACTTTTAGTCCCTGTGCAGGGATGGAAGAGAGCGGGAGCTTCAGGGGCCTGGATGCAGCAGGGTGCCACACCCGTGGATGCTGGTAGGTCTGCTGCCTGGTGGCAAACACCAGGGTTTTATTATGCAGCGTGTAAAGTGTTGATGTGACAGGATGGGCAGAGATGGAGCTAAGTGTTAGAGTTTACCAGTTCTTTTTGCGTCTGACATCTCCTAAATCTTAATTATAGTAATTCAAAGTAGAATACATAACTGTGTGTGCATTAATCTGCTTTATTTCAGGCGATTTGAGGATTCAATTCACTTTAATGCTTTATTTTTGTGAGAATTTGTCAGATTATGTTTGAAGTTTAGCAAATTAATTCGGGCAGCGTTACATTACCACTCAACCGGGTTTCCTGAGCTCCTCGTCGTCGCCACTGCAGTACTCGTCCTGTGCGTAAAAGGCGCAGGGGGAAGTGTGCTGTAGGCCTGCGTATAGAGGCAGCAGAAGGAGAGGGAGGAGGGCGGCGTGGATTACTATACTGCCAGTGGGTTAAGATGCTTACCAACTAATTACCTGTCCACTAAAATCCTCTGCCATACAGCCCCAAAACAAGCAGGGAGACGCGAAGGACGGATAGATGGAGATATGGAGAGTAAACTGAAACAATGTGGAGCAGCGGACTGAAGAAAGACAACAAAGTAATCTTTCCTCCTACAGACCAGTCCATCCTATTTTTTCGACTTTGAGTAAAAGACTGATTGTGAAGAGATTCTCCTGCTGGATGCGTTTGGAGGCTCAACAAACACGTTTCCTTTTGTGTTTTTATAAACTAAAGTGTTGTTGTGAGGATATGGGATCATTTATAAGGTAAGAATCAATGGGTATCTAAATAAAATCCACAGGCCTTTGCAATTTGCGTGGCAAGATCCTGCGTAACCTGCGTTAGTAAATGTGTGCGATCCTCAGGCTGTTACTTTTTATATTGTGTTATAACAATGTGGGAATGAAGAAGTAGATATTAATGACAAATGGAAATAATAATAATAGTTTCTCTTTGAAAATGAGGGAATGCTTTGAGTCAGACTACTTCAGGTGATTACACAAACCTCCACTGCAGCCTTGATTATAACAGGAAATTACTTTATTGGGGAGGTGAGTGATATTCTACTGTTGAACAATCAATAAAGTGTCACATGTACTTTTAGTTCCCTTTAATCTATCAGTCATGTGGACTAATTATCACCACAGACAACGAGACAAAGTAATAAAGAGCAAAAGACATTAAGAGCAACTAAACGCAGCAACTTCAGGAGATTTCTGTTTATGCTCCCATCTCTCTCTCTCTCTCTCAAGCCTTTTACTCTATTGATCTCTCCCGGAAACGGGAAGATGAGCCCTGCTTTGGGACCCATTTGGAGCA